CAAAATAGTGATAAATACTCATAGTGAAGTATCAAGTGTATCAGCCATGAGTTGGCATAAAAAGCAACAATCATAAGATGGGGATAAAGAAATAATAAAAGTTTACCAGTAAAATAGTTGATCACCCCAGAATTTTGTGATATAAAACTATGAGTAAAAAAAAATAATGAAATTAATAGTAAAACTAAGAATACTTTATCGAGATGTTTTTAAATTTGAATTTGGCAGCCCTTTCCTAAATATTAGAAATGCCGACCTCACTAAAAGACCTAAAATTGTGACCATGTGCCAGACAAAACTAAGCTTATTAGTTTATTATTATACACAATTATCCAGGAATCGTGGTTAAAAAATATTTTCAAATTCCTATATACTAGTTGGGTTATCGTTGTCTAGTGCCGAGCAAAGCTAATCCATAAATATCTCCTGTGAAAGCTTGTCGTATAGCTGTGATAAATAACATAGTTTCATCGGCTATTCGAAATTTCGATCCCTAACGGAGCACTCACGGTGTTTTATTCTGTTATCTTTTCACCTCAGATATTTACTCGAATTGTAGAGGATGGAACTGAATCTTTTGAAAACGTGATTAATATTTTCTTCTCAGTTTATTTTGTTCCTCTTGCGTGTACACACACCGAACATTATGAAAAGATAATTGCTACAATCAGTGAATTATGAATTGTCAGTTGACCCCTGAGGATTAAAACTAGATGGATACGGACAGCGAGGCGGCAGTAAAAGGTCCAATTGACAAAAAATTTATGTCCTCGGGTAACGAAGAATAACGGATTGGAAGAGATTCACACAGGTGTGCAAAATCACACACACACACACACACACACACACACACACACACACACACTCTCTCTCTCTCTCTCTCTCTCTCTCTCTCACTGATTCTCTTTTCAGTTTTTCTCTCTTTTATTCAACTAATTACTTTCAACTTTCTTTTTATCTTCACCTTATTAATTTATCTGTTTATGTTTGCGTGTGTGTTTTAAAATATATGTATATCAATTAATTGCTTTCACTTTTCTCTTTATTACTTTCACCGTCTATGTATGTGTGCGTGCAGACGTTTGAATGCGCATATATATATATATATATATATATATATATATATATATATATATATATATGAACATTGAAGTCAACACTTACTTAGAGGCGATACATGCTCTATCTCTAATATTGAGCACTTTATCCCATAAATATAGCTGTTTAAGAGTATATTTCTTTATATATATATATATATATATATATATGTGTGTGTGTGTGTGTGTGTGTGTGTATGTATATATATTATTTTAGTATATTACATCGAAAAACATGATTGTTCTTATATGACAGAAATGTCACCCAACATGGACTTTTGCATTGTGCAGCATTCTCTGCTATATAGGATGATTGATATTACATAACTGTTCGGCACACATTTCTTTGTTTCTAAAGAAATTTTCCTATATCTTAATACATTGTTTAGTTTTTAAACGGCTTCTTTTACTATTTCAACGCTTCTTTGGATTTCTATGTCACATTTTCCTTCATCTGCAATTAAATGGGAATGTACGTGTTATTACATATTTTTCTACAGAAATATTCTTTTTGCAAAAGAAATGTAACTTATGCAAAAACTATTAACGTTTTCATTTCTTTTTCTATTTCATTACAAAAATATCCATATTTTATAACAAAACAGATTTAAGGTGTATTGGGATATGAAAAGATGCCTTCCAAAAGCTAAGCAAAGTATTAAGAAAAAGAAAAATATCGTTAGAAACAAAGAAACGCGTACTGAATTCTTATGTAATATCGGTCCTCCCATATGGCAGTGAAGAGGAAACTTGAAGCAAGAGAAATGTGGTTATACAGAAGTATGCTGAGAATGCAGTGGACCGAACATGTGAAGAACGTCGAAGTTCTAGAGACAACAGCAACAAAAAAGAACAGTTCTGCCTGACAACAGGAAGAAATAGTTGCGGCACAAAGTAAGGAAATTTATATTTATATGTATCTGTATATATACGCGTGTATTCTGTTGTGCTAATTTAAGCGCACTGGGATGAGAATTTATGGAAATACCTTACAGGCGAATTTAAGCCCAAAATTTGTGTGAAGTGATTGTATGTGGTACAGTAGGGGAGTGACTTTTTTGTTTCTCTATATATAAAGTAGCAAGTTGACAAGATATGTGTCAAATTTTTCTTTGTTAATTCTATCGCAAAGATACATTTGTCCATCATGTTTAATCTGGATAATCACGATAATCTGTCTAATTATATATCCAACATATTGTCAGGTGCTTACCAATCATTGACGAAGAATAAAAACCTACAAAGAATATGCAAGTCTCAGTTGCATATTTTGGTCTTGCAAGTGAGTCATGAAGACATTTAGTAATATAATGACTATCTTACTGGATAAATAACACTTGTGGCTGTAAAAAGAAACTGAAATTGGCATCCTTTGGATGAAATATTCTAAGAGATATGTTCATCATTAATTCTTTTAACACAAATTTTGACTACATTACAAGTGCCTTAGATACAGTTACCTTTTTAAAACTTCTTATCTTTTGTACGAATATCCATATCTATAAAACGCAACGCACACACAAACACACACACACACGCATAGTAAACCTAAAGAGCCAAACAAACCTACCTATGTTTCACCTACGTAGATCGTCAGGGCAGATTGGCTAAAGAGGTGCAATCAGAACTTACACATGGAAAATTAAACAGGACTATAATAAAGACCCCATTTTGAAATGGAAAATACTAAAGAAATGCCCAAAATATAAAGCAGGTAATAAAGTTTGTCCTCTATGTATAGAGGAAAAGTTAGCCATCGCTTTATTTAAGGAACCTAACAATTTGCCAAAAAAAAAAAAACCCGGACATCTTAAGTAAGTGTAGACATAGAAAACGGTGGTTGCTCCAATAGGTTTTTCTCGTTTTTTTTTCTTTGTTTTTATGTTTTGAATAAATAAGATCCCTACCCTCTTTGTTGTGTTACTTTTTTCTTTTTTTTTTTTGTCACATGGTTATGTTTTTGTTTTGTAGGTTTATATTTCCTGTTCTGATTGCACCTCTTTAGCAAATCTGCCCTGACGATACGCGTAGGTGAAACCTAGGTAGGTTTGTCTGGATCTTTAGGTTTAATTTGCTTTATTTGCTCTACTTAGCGTATTGAGCACTTTGTTTAGTTATTTTACTTTACTCGTATCGGAGGTTTTTTTCTTTGGACTCTGAACTTTGATTCTAGATGATTATTTTCGCCGGAAGTACATGTTCTTAGTTCTTCCTTTTTTGTCCTTTTTCCCCCTTGGGTATTGATTTGATCATTTACAAGCTAAAATACCTAAGGCTTTGCCGGACGAGTACTACTGCTTATATTGATATGATTATTAGTGATATATATATATATATATATATATATATATATATATATATATATATATATATATATATATATTTCATTGAAAACGACAGACAAGGTGCTTTTATTTAGTTTTGTATACAATTTCTCATGCGATCTAATAATATTATTTTTTCTTTTCGGATGATAAATTATATAAAAACTGTCCGAATGTTCTTTTTATCCGAGCGCTCCCGGCTATACATTTACCCATTTTCAAGGATTATATTCTAATTGTTAAAATAAGAAATTATATTTTAACTGTTAAATTAAGTTCAGTCGGCAGTATTGAGTTGTCCCGGCGCTCAGTCGGCGGTGTTGAGTTGGTGGTGTTCAGTCGGCGGTATTGAGTTTTCTCTGCACGCAATTAGCAGTGTTGAGTTGGTGGTATTCAGTCGGCGGTAATGAATTGTCTCCGCACTCAGTTGGTGGTGTTGAGCTGGTGGTGTTCAGTCGGTGGTACTGAGTTGCCCTGCACCCATCGCAGGGATAAAAGTTTAATTAGAGCAATAGAAGAAGCCATTAAAGACCTTTTATAACAAAAGAAAACACTTCATTCATAACTGTAACTCTCTAAGGATAGGTTCTTGATCCTAGTATTGGATGAAATTAGTAAGATCATTTTTTAAAAATAACTATTCTATATCTACTCTTTACCGGTGCTCGGACATTGATTTCTCAGAACTGTTGAATATATGTAATACTGTTTTGTAATTTAAATTCAATATGTCAATTTTTCAAAAGAGAAAATCCTGTCTACCTTGAAAATCAACCATTGATATTTGGGGTTGTAGTTGGTTTGAATGCCCGTGGAAGAATATTTAACACGTACTGGAACGCGACAGGCGCTCCTTACGCACCACATTCCATGCAGTTACATCCATACGACTACTGATATTCTTCACTAAATAAAGAAAGAAAACAGCTAAAAATATTGTCAGTATAAAAAGAAATGGGTGACATTTGACTCGTGAAAAAGGCGGCAAACAATAGACGCTCGAAGTCGAACGTGCTAAAAGTGTTACAGGCAAAACTCACAAGTGTTTAATTCTTTTTAGTTGACTCAACTCCGACGTGACTGGTTTCTATACGTACAATTCAAACAAGTTACGAAGTCGACTTCGAATTGAAACTTAAGAAATTAAGTAAATGTTCAAAGTCAGTGAGTCAATATAATATGAGATAGGGTCGAGAGTGTAAGGCTAATGTTACATTGCGAAAATGTTCGCGGGTTGATTTAAAATGCAGAATTTTGATTGGATGAGAATTAACGAATCATTTCTTCCACTGTAGTTTGCACGTATCGACCACGTGTGTAATTTTGATTTAGCTGGAAATGGTTTATTTTCTATTTGCCTAAACGGCAAAACACATTTTTTTCAAATAGCATTAAGGAAGGAAGGAAGGAAGGAAGGAAGGAAGGAAGGAAGGGAGGAGTATAAGGATAGATGAATAAAGGATAAAGAAAATCAAAAGGAAAAATCGTAATGACAATAAGGAAGGTAAAGTAGAAATCGAAGATAAAATGCAAGGAGTGTGGATGGATGAGAAGATGGTGTGAACACAAAAGTTGTATATCAAGAGGAAAAGTAATAGAGGTTACGAAAAATAGAAAGAAAGAAAGAAAGAAAGAAAGAAAGTGATAGGAGAATGGAGAGAAAAAGGAAGAATAAGAAACATGTAGGAAGAAAGGGAATTATGGAGAGAAAAAATAAAAATGGCGGAGGAACATTGAATCCAAGAATTAAGACACAAATTCTAGATAATTTGAAATTAAGTATTTAAAAAGGACCAGCAGACCAAAGTAAAACAAGAAACTAATTTTTGTTTGAAATATACCGTTTCACAGCTTATAAGATTCTCCGATATATTATTCTGCTATTCAAATTTTGAAAGAAAAAATTGGAAAGATTTTTCCTTTTACTTCATAGTACTCCGTAATGTCCACAAATTTATCCACTGAATAAACATATTTCAGCATGAAAACCTGACTAATCATGACTTTCATCACAGATCTTGAAAAGTATGGTAACCATTTAGAATGAAATACTTAGAAAAGAAGTTAGATAATGCCACTGAATCCTTAGCTTGTTGCAGCTTGAAATCCTTACCCACTCACCCAACTCCAAAACCTATAACTCTTGTTACTAACATTCGATTTATAGAATGCAGGGAGGATTTGGTAGATGTTTTCTAGGAAAAAATGCGTATTCTAAGCTAAAATATACGGTAAACTGCCAGTGAATGAAAAGCGAAAGGTGAAACAAATATAATTGTTCAAGAAAGAGAGTTTCAAAATAAGTTTAGGGAATAAACGGGAATGTCTAATTAAAGATATAATAAAAAAATTCAAAAAATAAAGTAAAAAATAACAGCCCTTTCACAAGAGATCGAATTAAGAATTATATATACGGTATATTTCTGTGTATAAGGCGAGATTTAGATAAGAGAAAGTGAAAAAAAAAATAAAGAAAATTTTCATGAATTTATCATATACCTGTAGTATAAAACGACTGCTGATTAATTATATAAAGATGATGTTATTGGGAATGATATTGTTTACCTTATCATTAGAAATTCAAAATAACTGAAAAAAGTAAGAGCAGTTCTATATCATATTCTATATCCTACACACGTTCCTTGAAAGGGAAACCATTGTTTTCATTTTGTTTCATCATGTAGCCTGTTGCGAATACTGATTCTTCTTCTTCTTCCTCTTATTTTCCTATATTTACAAACAGCCTGGTGTACTAATAGCCATTTACTTATACCGCATTGATAATCGCAAAATAATCCTAAATTGTGTTATTATTTAACACCAAAATGATGATAATTTTTTAACGAGAAATGAATATTACTTGATCCTAAATGTTATTATTGCCGTAATTAACACTACCATGATGATTATTGAAAGTTTAGTGAAAAATAAAGGTTGTTGTGAACACAGTCGTAACTCGATGTTTACATTTTCTCTGCTGAGATTGCATGGATACAAGTTGATTTCATTGATATGGAATTATTCTTCGAATAGGCAATTTATTATGAAGTTATGCCAGTAATATATAAGTTATATATACATGATTTTATTACTTTTATTATCAGTTCATTTGATAATGTGAATCTTTTCATGGACGTTACTGGATATCGTACCAAGGCCGAGATTAGCCCACCTGCAAAAATCACTTGCAATTTAAGGTTTCCTTTTTTTCGAATTGCAGTATAAATGACCTTCAAATTTTAAGGGTGATTTGGAGGATTTAAAGGTCGTCTTATACGCGGAAATATATAGTAATTTTTTTTTTTTTCACTTTCTAAATTTAATACTCTAGAGAAACAGTTATTTTTGCATATTTTTCTTTCGCTCTTCCTTTCATTCGTATACGTAACGTTTACTTTTATCTTCCTTAATGGTTTTCTTTGTCTAAGTTTCGCTTTGTTTCTTTACCCGGAAGTACAATTATTTTTTTTTCCTTGATCAATTATTTGTAATACACTTCCGGTTTCAACTACGCATTTCAGCAATTTTTAGCTATCGGTGTCAGCTTCAGTAATATAGCTGCCGGAAGGAAATCAGAGATGACATCCAACTGCTTCTCGTGGTTTCATTTCTTGGTCTAAGTTCAGACATTTCTTCTCTTAGAAGACTGGTTATCAACAGATTTAGAGATCACAGTACGCCATGTTATTTTGCTATAGCAGATAAATGAATATACATTGTGTCAGTTGGCATTTGAACACAACTGAAAGTTTCCTTTTTTTTTCTTCTTGTTGTTAACCGATTGACCACTCGGCTTTCTCTTAATTCATCCCCTACTTCATGTTATCTTTTCCGATATATCTTCTTTTGTTTTCATGTATTTCCTTTTATGCTTTTCATTTCTATCTTAGCCCATCTTTCACGTCTTGTTACATTTTTTTCTTTATTTTTGTCATGTTTACCTCCTTTTTTTCACTGTATTTTCCTCTGTGAATTTATCCTCTTCTTGATAAACAATGAAAGCGCGATATTTTCAATGTTGCCACAAGAATAACGAAGAACTTAAAGAAAAAAAAAAAGCGTTAAAGAAAGAATGATGA